TAATAGAAGATTAATTCATTTAAGTAGGTTAAGGATGTAAAGAAATCGAGCGCGTTTTAAAAACATGCGTGAAGATATACGTATATGTACACACGGAGCTGTACCGTTTTTTATTGGAAATCCGATGTTGGTCAGTGGGACACACGCATGTGGAACTTTCATTTTTTTGCGGACCTGATTTACAGATTGACCGGGCCACATCAGTGATGGGCTTGTACTAAATTAACAGTTTCATAAGTTATTTTTCGAGTAACATATAGGTATTTGTTGAGGCTAAAAGATAGTTAGAAATAATGGAAAAGTACTGTAAGAACTGAAAATTTAGGGTAAAGAGGTGAATGCTTGTTATTGGACATGAATGGGAAAATGGTTTTGAATATATTTTCACAGATTTTAAGTTTAATTTTCTTTAATTTGACTGGCCAAGAAATGAATCAAGACAAGAATGACCTGAATCATGTAACTTCACAGGTGATTTCTTGTAACCAAAAACTGTTTTTTGGAGCCAAATAGTGCTAGACTGATATTACCGCACGTAATTCGAGATTTTTAATGATACTCGCAACCTGAAAAAATAGAACCTTTTAGTTTATATGCACAGTCGCATGCTTTAATTTTATGAAAATTAAGATAAACTCAATATAAATCCATATGGAAGTCGAAATCATCTTCAGCTTATTCAACCATTTCCAGTTCTAGTGTAGCCTCCGTCACATTTTTAGATAGTTTAGGCCCAATTTATCCCTGCTAATTTTCTAATATCATGGTTTGGCTTTCTTCGAGGTCTCTTAGTTCCTCGTGGGTACTATGGTGTAATTGTTGTGGTCCAACTGTTATCCATCCTTCTTTCCAGGTGTCCTGTTCATTGCTACTTGAGGTATTTAATTCTGTGGATAACATCTATTACCTGGATATTTGTTGTATCCGCTCTATTTTTACGGTCTTTCTTGGTTACCTTAACATATTTTGTTCTATCGAGCATTGTACGACCTGCAGTTTTCTTATAATGTCCGTTTTAAGTGTCCAGGTTTCGCATGCATAGATCATATCTGGTAGTACACATTTGTCGAATGTTTCCTTCTTTAGATACACTGGCATTCTAGATTTGTTTATGATTGAGTTTCTTTTATATGTACGCCATGCTAGTAGAGATTCTGAGCTGTTGTCATAGTAGTGGTCCCAAATATACAATTTCTTTTACTATTTCCAGTATTGTGTTTGTTATTAAAATGTATTTTCTGTCTCATTGCTGATTCTCTATTACTTCAGTTTCTGCTATATTCATTTTGAGACCTACTTTATTGCTGGTATTAGTTCATTAATTTCTGCTTGTAATATTTGAGGACTATTGGCAATTAGGACTTTGTCATCAGCGAATCTTAGATGGTTAAGATCACCGGTTAAGATATCTTTGATCTATTTTGGCAATAAATAAAGAAAAATTATTCAATGCATATATTATTAAGATAGATTAAAGAATAATTTATAACTCAAATAGTATAGGAATAAGCAGAATGGTAAAAAACTAATATGAAAACTTCATAATTTTATAACATGGTCTAATAATTATACTTATCCTGTAACAATCACAACTGTGTAATAATTTAATACACTAAAGAACATATCAATTTTAGATTTTTTATATTAACCCATCTCTCTAGTGTATAATTTGGAATGTGGCATCAATTATTTAAATTATTAAATATAATTTGCCATGGCTACCGGAAGCATTAACCTACATATTCTGTAATTTTGAAAACGCCAAATTTAATTATTATGATCTACTAACGAGAATTTTTGTTTGTACCCGGACCCAGCTCATAAAATGCCTAAATATCCTATAAAATACTTCTTATACGACTTTTTACCTTTAGGCAATTTTTTTTATAACGAGTTGCTTAAGTAATGATGCTTGATTACATTTTACGCCATTTAAATACATGAGCGTTTCGAAAATGTATTTTTTATATGAGTACCAAAAATACTTGACACCATTTTCTTTAGGTCTTTTTAATGATGAGAAAGAATACTTTAAGAAAACTTAATAATAATAAAAGCTAATAAGCTCATGGGAATACAACTTTACAATTGTATAGACCGTGTTATTTTGCAGACAATGATCTTGAAGGTTCATCATTATGTCTATTATTAAATTTATAATGCTAACATAATCTAAAGAAAACTATTTATTATAGGCTTAAACCTTTCGCTTTATTTTAGAAAAAAAAATTCTCTAAATTTTATAAATTATTCTCGATTTTTAGAATAATAGTGTGTTAACGGCTTCGAAAAGTATTTTTGATGGAACCCATAGAAAGATTGTTTAAAAATATTTGTAAATAATATGTCCGAAAGACAAAGTTATTTATGAATACAGATTATAAATCTGTAATTTAAAACCATGTTCTATATAAGATTAGATCTGCATACATAATTGATTGGCATGTAGTTTATTTAATGTAATAAACTATACTAAGGAATTTATTACGCAAAACTAAACAGGTTGGTTCTAACGTCAGAATATAACGTGAGTTTCTCATCATCTAGAAGCAAACAAATCATCGCTTGTTACACAACAATAATACCAATCAGCCTCTCCAAAAATGCTAACAACAATCTCTACACTAGCTTCATCTCGAACCAAAGAAACAAACAATAAAAAACAACATTCAAGGTCATCGATGGTTTCGCGTCAAGTCAAGGTCGCTCACTGCCCCCGGCCTTTGCCTACGACGTAACGTTGGTCAGTGGCCCCTAGGAGGCAGCTTGTGTTCTAGTCCCTCCTTTAGAGGACACGTGATTAGAGCTGTGACTCGCTAGGGAATAAATAGAGAGTGCGTTCATGTGTATTGTTGATGTGTACGCACTTTTTTTATTGGCCCATTGGCCGAAATTCGATCGATGCGTATGTTTACTTATGACTGCTAATTGAATAATGCTGGCCGAGTGTGATACTGGTTTACATTTTTGCCGTTTATTGACTTGTAAATTGATAGTTGTCATAAGATGAACACGTCAATCGTTTAGGGAATGGTAATTTTAGGCTGTTCTATTTTTATATTGTATATTAAGACTGTTTCAATTTTTGATTCAAATTGTTTTATTATTATTATAGACATTGGATTTTTTTGGTGCAAAATAACTAAGTAATATTAACTAATTTGTCAGAGTGTGATTATGACAGCCATTTTATGCTATAGGTAATATACATTGACTATCCCGTCATATGGAAGAAAATCTCCCTATGATAATCAATGAAATCCCTTATAAAAATCCTCCATGGCTAATACCTGAAACTGAAGTAATATTAGATCTGCATAAACCCAAACGTCAAGACACATCGCCTGAAATATATCAACGATAGTTCTACAAAATACTAGACCTGTACAACGGAAAAATTGTCATTTATACTGATGGTTGCAAAACACAAACTGGTGCTGGATGTGCATTTATTATCAACGGTCAGTTTTCCAATGGACTTTGGGACATGAAGCATCAGCTTTCTTCACAGAACATCTTGCGATCTGGAAAGCCTAACCTAACTTATGCTATATCATCGAGGAATATAATCAAACTAGAGTGGTAATCATTTCTGGCTCTTTAGACATCGTGTCTAAAATTAATGAAATATTTGTCAAGATCTTCTGAAACAAAAATCTCAGACGCTTATTCGTAAAAACAAACTCAAGTTTGTATGGATTCCAAGCCATACTAATATACTTGGCAACACAATGGCAGATGAAGAGCAATACATTTATTTAATTAGATTCTATTAAAAGATCCTATCCTATACAGGATGTCCCGTAGTTTGACAATGGGGCTAAGCGTGGCCCAGTTGCGGGAAACCTGACTTCGGCGCACCAAGATTGGTCCAAAGCTGGGTAATTCGGGCTTGGCCAATCCTATGTTCACCCTATCTTGGGCCACGGCTGGGAAATCAAGTCTTAGCCATCCCTTAATTCACCCAACTTTAGTCCAACGCTGGGTATCTCAGCTCCGGCCATGCTACGGCGACCCAGCTTTGAACCAGAATTGGTTAACCAAGCCTGGACCATTTTTTGGTGTTTTAGTCTTGCCCCAATACTGGGAAATCGAGTCTTGCCCATCTCTTAATTCACCAAACTTTGGTCCAACACTGGGGATCTCAGTTCTGGCTATGTTACGGCGACCCAGCTTTGAACCAGAGTTAGTCAATTAAGCCTAGGCCATTTTTTGCTGATTTAGACTTGGTCCAATACTATTAAATATATATGAAAGCAATTATTTGTGTGTTAACTTTATTCCAAATGCTGGGTTCAAAACAATTGTTTTTTTTGCTGGTGGATCAAACTCGACAATTAAACTCTCGGCGATCAAACATGGCTTGATCTTGGCATTCAAGGCAGGCCCAGCCCATGCCCAGCCTTGACGATCAGTGATGGCCCAACGTCGGATTCAAAGCCTGGTCCGATGTTTTAAATCGACAACTACAATAGCACCACAGTAATAGCACTACATAACCACAGTCGGGCCAAAACTAGTATACAAATATGGCTCAGTATTGGTGATCAAACTTGGCCTAGCCTTGGGGATCAAAATTGGCCTAGTGTTGATAATTAAGTTTGGCCCAACTCTGGTAATCACGCATTCATGTTTGTTATCATTCCAGGTTATTCCCAAAGCTGGACCGAGACTGGTATGCATAGTTGGCCCAGATCTTTACAGTACTAAACCAGTCCTGTACCAAGACTAAAGCCAATGGATCCTATTTTTATGTTTAGTTTAGATGTTATCGCTTCTTTCATAATATTTTTATATACCATAAATGATGACAATCTTAGATTTTATAATAGCCCTTCTAAATAGTCTTTTATGTTCCTAATTCGAAAATTTAAAAACACTTCTTATATCATTTTCCTCAATACAGTTATTTGACTACAAATACAGTAATGCTAATACAATTAATGTGGTTATTATAGATTAAATACTGATTATTAATTGTGATTTTTTCTTCTTTACAGGAAGAGAAGACTTATCACCACCTAGCAGCCTGAACGGGTACAGTGCGGACAGCTGCGATGCCAAGAAGAAAAAAGGGCCCACTCCGCGGCAGCAGGAGGAACTGTGTCTGGTTTGCGGCGACAGGGCATCGGGGTACCACTATAACGCGCTCACATGTGAAGGTTGCAAAGGTACTGCTATATATCCTATTAAAAAAGAAACTAAAGTACGTTTATGAAAATTGTGCAGTTGGAGGGTAATCGATTTTTTTCAGTTCTGTGAAAAAATAGACTTGTGGTAGATGCGGGCAATGGATAATAATATTTTGAATTACAATATAGCTAATGTGGCTAATATAGAGATGTACTGCCAACTATCTTTCCATCTTTTTCGATGTTTTCCCAGCTGTCTCTACCCATGGATTTCCTTCAAGAGCAATACGTGGTAGCCTCTTTTCTTCCATGCGTTTTAAGTGTGCAAACTATTGTCTTTTTCTTCGTCTACCCCAGCTTTCTATGTCCTGTATTTCACATTGTTGTATGATATTTGTGTTAATAATTCTGTATCTTCTAGTCTTCCCCATACGGTTCTTAGGTTCTTCATTCCAGCAGCCCTTAAGATTAACATGCTTTTTTGCCTTTTTTTTTCCTCTCGAATTTCTATGCCATATTTCATTATTGATCTGATGCAGGTCTTATAAATTTTATTGCTGTCTGTTCGTCTGAAGGTGTTTGTCCATATTCTTTACATCAGACAACCTGACATGACCATCGCTCTGTTTATTTGGCTTCTCAGATCTTTCCTTGGATCGCGATAGTACGACATATCTATTCCTAGGTATCTAAACTGTAATACTAACTGAATAAATTTGTTTTCTACGACAGTTTGTATTTTACCGGCTCTTTAGAAAAAGTTAAGCGTTTATTTTTTTTTCTGTAGAGATAGTCATGTTTAATTCTCTGCTTACTTGATAGAATTTATGAAGCTGTCTCTGCATATCGTCCTCTGCCACCGCGATAATGGCTGCATCATCAGCGTAACACACCATGCTAACACTGTTGTGTCTTTATTCATCGAGGTCATATTTTCTATGATGATGCCCATTAAAAGGTTGAATAAGAAGGGGCTGTCTCCTTGTCTACTGCCTATATATAAGCAAGTTAAGAAAATACATTTTGGACTTGTTTGGAGGTTGTCCTGTTTAGTTATCTATTAATATTATATAATTTAGTCTACGGTGTCTATCTATTGGTACGATACTTAATTTCCAAATAGATTTGGGTTGGGTTTATATTGCTTAAATGCGACGGCTTATTGGCTATATTACATCACTCCATATCATGTATGTATGTATATTCAACGTTTATTTATTGTAAATATTAATTATAATATCAGTACAATTCGTTAAATTAATTCCCGACGATGACAGGTGAGTTGAATTTTTAGAAAGTAAATTCTATTTCTTAGTGCTTGAACTTGTTGAAGACCCATCACTGCCAGAAATGTTACCCAAAATATTACAAGACACTTTTTTCTCTTATTTTCTTAGAATTTTCTATATAGCTCTCTGCCACTGTGTTAGAGCGCCAACCACCATGTCTTTTAACAGTTAATAAATCCACTCCTGAATCTGCAAGCAACGACGCAGACGATCTTCGGAAACAATGTCCAGTGTACTGTTGTGGATTTGGAAGACTTAGGAACAATGCTATTTTATACGGCATTTTCCCTAAAGTATTAATGCCAACGGGTTGCTTAATACATTTTCCATTTCTGTACCCCACAAAAAATATCGAGTATGCTCTGTGTTGCTTGGCCGCATAGCTATATGTATATTCGAACTATTTCTACCATATTTATTCCTTCAACATCCTCTTTCGTTATAAAAAAAAACTCATGATATCTTTGTTTTCGTAAATGGAATAATGACATGAATGCATTGTCCTTCATCTTTAATATTTTGCAGCTGCAGATTTGTCAACTCGATACGCCGGCAGGCTCCCGCAGGTCCCACTATCAATGAAACTTTTGTCGGGAAATAAGTTTTTTCATCGGGTTCCAACAAAAAACGAGTTATGTCTTCTTTTTAAAAGTTCTCGATTTTTTTGACCGAAATCCTTCCGATTTTCTTTTTAGAAATGCAATTAAATGGACGTACTTACTAATATTTCTGTATTTTTCTTCACTGATATAACTAAACGTAGCATGGAATAATATACCCAAAATGATGAAGCCTTCCTATGTTTTGAAAGACGTTCAAAATATGCCAGGAGAACCTTTTCGTTACTACTATTCTTGATTCCTTTCCATTTACACCAATTTTCAAGTTTTACATAGGCTTGCTCGTACGTTTGTCTTGATTTTTTGGGAAGTAGGGAATAGCCAAAGTTTTGCGCAATGCCTTCAATATCTGAAGGGACACTTTTAAAATAAGAATCACCCATATCCCATATTAATATTATTTTTTGCTTTTTGCTAAAACTGAACGTTTAACATAAAATTGAACATGAATAATTGAGTTGTCAAAGTCAAAATGGAAACAATCAACAAGCACGATTACCATGGCTTCGACTAATATGATAATTTTGAATTTTAATTTTTATGAGGATATCTCTGATATTTTAAATTAAATCAAATCTCTTTGGATCGTCCGTCGTGTCGCGTCGTAGATTAAATTTTGAATGATACACGTTCGATACGGACTTTTTAATGAAACTTGTGTAACTAAGCCCAACTAACCTAACCTAACCTAACTTAACGTTACACGCGTTTCATTATGATGTTCGTATCGAACTTGTATCATTAATAACTATAAATTAATTCTCCAATATTTCTAAACTGTTAACTTATTTTTCTAATTTTGCTCTCTCCTTTTAAGGATTCTTCCGACGGAGCATCACGAAAAACGCAGTGTACCAGTGCAAGTACGGCAACAATTGCGACATTGACATGTACATGCGACGGAAGTGTCAGGAGTGTCGACTGAAGAAGTGCCTGACGGTGGGTATGCGACCGGAATGCGTAGTACCAGAAGTCCAGTGCGCGGTCAAGAGGAAAGAGAAAAAGGCGCTCAAGGAGAAGGACAAGCCGAACAGTACGACCAACGGATCGCCACCCAGTGTTATTAAGTCAGAACCAGAGGTAAGTTAAAGTACAGGATTAAGATTTAGACAACTTTTAGCAAAAAAAATATATTTTTCTTGCAATGTTGCATTCTTTTTTCACGTTTGAAAGATTTTAATGGACTTTTTCAATCAAAAACTACAGAAAAGGAGCATCGTTCGCTTTATGATAGATACATATTCAGGCGCGATACTACGTAAAAATATTATTAAAAAAAACTTTTTGTCCATTTTGTGCGTCCTTTTTTATCTGAGCAGTGGTCGATCAGAATAATTACTTTTTCCAGATGCATTCCTTGAAAAAAATAGGGGCCCTCTTAAGCGAGCCTCACACGAAGATCGGGGAAGTTAGTAACTCATTGAAAGCAGGAATTATAAAATACGATCCTGCTTGGGCTGCTACAATCCTGCTTTATCCTGATTCAAATCCCAACCCAGCCACACCTACCAATTTTGAGCTATAGTTACTTTTATTTTGGTTGCTAACTTCCCAGTTGGCAACACATGAGAAGCGGGGTCGGCAAATCTGGTTCCTGCTTGCACTGCTATACTCCTGTTGCATCCTGCTCTAAATTTCATCCCAGCAACACTTGCTGTTTTTAAGATACAGCAAGTTTAAGTCTGATTGGTGACGTCATATATAGTAACACAATAAAAGCAGAATGGCTGAAACAAGTTCCTGCTTTGGCTGCTACAATCCAGCCTTATCCTGCTTCAAACTCCATACCAGCCACTCTTTCGTTTTTAAAATAGAACGAATCGATTCCTGGTAATCAGTCGAACATTAAGATTAAGAATGATTTTTTTTAACTTGATAAGTTTCAGGTTACGCTGTTATTTTTTTGCTTTATTTGCCTAAAATATGTATAAGCTTCCAAGTCATACATAATTATTCCGAACAGTTGAACAAAATAAGGCAGGTTCAGTGTTCTCAGGAGTAACTTTAGAGTTTTTAGTGTAACATCCGAAAACGCCTTAACGTACCCGCGAACCATAACATCAGATTTTCCAGTTTTCTACTATGAATTTGTATTCATAGTTCTCACAAGTGTGATTTGTGTTTTTTTTTAAAGAAACGTAAGTATTTTTGATGGTCCCTCCATCCTTAAACTTTTATTTTTTTACGTTTCGTTCCGTGTCCTAGTGGACAAGTCAGCAACAAGCTTTTATATCATATAAATTGTGTAATGAGATTATAAGTTGATAGTAAAAGTGTTACAGAAAATTATTTTCTTCTTTTTAGAGTATTTAAATAAAAGCTTGTTTTTAAAAATGTTTTTAAAAGCTTTTATTTAATTTGCAATGTATGTATGTATGTATGTATTTCAAAAACGGCAAAAATGGCTGGTATAGAGTTTGAAGCAGGATGAGGCAGGATTATAGCAGCCAAAGCAGGAACTTGTTTCAGCCATCCTGCTTTTATTGTGTTGCTATGTGTGAAAGTGTGAAGAACAGAAAGAAAAAGTGTGAAGGAACCAGGTTTGGCGATCCTGCTTCTTATGTGTTGCCAACTGGGAAGTTAGCAACTAAAATAAGAGTAACTATAGCTCAAAATTAGTAGGTGTGGCTCGGTTGGTATTTGAAGCAGGGTTGTAGCAGCCCTAGCAGGATCGTATTTTATAATTCCTGCTTTCAATGAGTTGCTAACTTCCCCGATCTCTCACACGATCGGTATTACTGACAGTATTTCCAAAAACTGTCAGTAATATTGCCCGTGCGAGGGCAAAAATACTGGTGAGACTGATATACTTTGGCAATCCTGAAAGTTTTTTCGAATACTGACAATATCCAGTACTGTTGAGAAAGGTTGCCGGATCTTGATCTAAAGTATACAGTATGTCCCCGGATTGTGTTTACAAGAGGAAACACTTTTTTATTATTGATATTTTCAGGAAAATGCACTTTTCATAAAAATGTTTGCTTGTTTTAAAATGGTTAATCCCGTTTATACTTTTCCAAATTTCCATACCGTTTTGGAGAAAATTAAAAAAAAAACATGAAAATATAATTGAATTTCTTTACTAAAAAAAAGTCCTAAAGAAAGAACTTCCGAAAGTCCCAAAAATCAAAACGCTTGTAAATATAATTTCGTTTTCATTCTTTGACGGATTGTTATTCATAGAATTTTAATTAACTTAATACATATGTTTGCTCCTTTAAAATGTTAAAGATTCACAAAATTTCATTTAGTTCAATGCTACGGAAAGGACGAAGATAGTTATCGGAAAATGTGATACTTTAACAATAGCAAAGAATATAACTTTAATCAAAATTAATAATAACCATCTATCAAAGAGTGAAATCGAATTTTAGGACTTATTTTTTCAGGACCATATTTTCATGTTCTTAATTTTCTCTAAAACGGTGTGGTAATTTGAAAAGTATAAACGGTATAATTTCCCACATCATGGGATGGACCAATCAGCTAATCTAATTTTTCGAATAAATTTTGTTTAGATAAGTGATTAAATCCCAAGACCAGTTTAACCGCGATTATTTTTTCGGCTTCCTTTTGGGTTTTCTTTTTGTCGTTCATCAAAACATTGACAATAGTTCATTTAAAAACATTGATTTACAACTCATATGTATGACTTAATAATGATTTTAATCGGTGAAAACCCCTTATTCGATATTATTTTGAACAAATAAGTGGAGAAAAATACGTCAGAATTTGATATGTTGACATGTGAAACGGTCCTCGATGCATTGTTGGGATGCGTAACCAAGGTAGCAGAAGCGCAAACATTACTTACGAGACGTCATTTTGAAACGTCTTTAAATTTTATTTACCCCTGCCGCTGTAGTAAAAATGAATTCACGGTTTAGTAATCTTTGTAGTGTGGCTACAATTTTTCGAATTTTGTATGGCGAAAAATTACTATCTGACTAAAGATACCAGTGTTGACGAATTGGCTAAAGTATTGAAAGACTGGGGATTTAATATGCGGAAGAAAGACGGGACAAATTATAAGGATGATTATATCTTAAATTTTATAGTTAATAAAATTCTTATAGTTATTTGCTTCATCCTAATTCATTCGCTTCATTCTAAGTCATTCAGGAAATAGTCTAGCCGTATGTCACTCAAACGATAAATTTAATTGATTAAACTACCCAAATAATTTTTTGCATCATTTTGCTTTTTAGAAAATAGTTTCATGCACAATAATTTTAAAAAAAAAAAAAAAAAAAAAAAAAAAAAAAAAAAAAAAAAAAATTACAAAATATCAAAAAAATATTTTTTTTTTCAATTTTTAATCAATTAGAATTTATAGGTCTCGTGATATAATATATGATTAACCATTTTAGAACAAACAAAATTATTTGAATATTTTTCTTAAAATGATTCAATAATAAAGATGTTTCTTCTTGTAAAGACAATCCGGGGACATACTGTAGGAATATAATAGATGGGAAATTAAAACAACTTTGGTTGCACGTCATCAATGACACCATGCGTCGTCTTATGGAGTTTGCTGGTGGTCGTATTATGATGTTAATTTATTATGAAGTTATTTTAATTTCCCTATAGAATATCAATTTCTTTGCAACTTTATTATAGTATTAATTAGTTCTATTTGTAACTTTTTCTTCTGTTTTCTGAACCACTGTTATCTACAATCCAACCTTTAACTGTGTCTTTAGTCGGGACTTCGTTTAGGAAAACGTGAGAAAATCGTAGAAATCTAAATCTATAGGGTGTCCCAGGCTGGGCATGCATTAAAAGTTTCTAAAGAACCACAATATCCAGACCGGAGATTTTTTGCACACCATTGTTTCACAACGAGATCTATCGAATAAAAATCTTACTTACCTGCCATTTACTCGCTGACGAGTATTTGACACACATCAAAGAAGATGGTTACGCAAGATATTCCGCAATGTGAGCACTGCTGTGGCTGAAAAGCCCGGTACGTGATGTTATTTCTCTTCCGCACTCCGGACATTCAAAAAATCTCATTACTTTGTTGCCTCTTTACTTTTGGTTGTCGTTATTAACAATTTCCAATTCTCCTTCATTGCATTCTATTGTGCACTACTTCCTCCCACTGAGTTTGCATACATCCCCTTTAAGTTTTTGAAAAACATCCTTGTATCTTTTGACTTGTCCACCGGTTTCCTCTTGCCCTCTACAAGTTCACCGAAAAGAAGATATTTCGGTAAGCGGTTTTCATGCATCCACCGCCGTTGGTCAGCCATCGAGCGGGATTTAGTTATCATGATTTCAGCGCTTTCGCAGCTTGCCTTTTCAAGCGGGCCGAGGTTGCCATATTTCAACCATAAAGCTCTTGCCGTAAGTAATAAACAAATTAACAACCTGTATAATTACATACAAGCGAGCATACAAGGTATTACTTTAAATATTTTTGTATTATTTGGAATGAAATTGTTTTAATGGAAATATTAGTTCGTTTCTTATTTGTTTTTTATAAATATTGGCTATTTACTGTTCCAAATAATAGTATGAATCAAGACATTATTCCGCATGAGAAAATGATAACCCCAGCTTCCGATATTTTAGTTCTATCAAAAGTTGACTATAAACAAAATAAACGAAAAAGGCAATTGGAGAAATAGGAAATTTTGATTCTACACCTCTTAAAGAACAAAATTTTGAAAGCGGAACTGAAGAACCTGAAGACTCCATCAGTAACTTGCAATGGGTGTCCTCCAACGGTCTAAACCTCGAAAAAGTTCCTCAGGACTTACGACCGGGAAAATCAAGGTTTTTCTTGATTTAAGTAAAACAATCTTCAGTTGTCACGGGGTTTCTAACAGGCACTACATCTCTCCTCAACAGGCTACCTCAGTAGGCTGAAGCTGAGAAACAACGGCAGATACAGATTTTGTGGGAAAAATGGGGAAACACCATTCAGAACACCTTATCACTGAGTGCGCCGGACGACGACCATTCGTACCATGAGCTTTGGTACATCTGATGTCGAGGATGGAGAAGCCTCTGTGAACTAAATAGATACACAGCTTTTGTTAAAGCCCCTGAGACATGATGATAATTTA